TCCCCCCCGCATCCCCCCCGCCCCGAGCGCCCCCGCCGCCGCCCGAGCGCCCCTACCGCCGCCCGGCCCCTCCCGCCCCGTACCTGCAGAGGCGGCGGCGCCGCGGGCGCTGCTGCGGAGCCCGAGGGCGGCGGCGGCGGCTTCGGGGGGAGAAGGGGAGGGAGGGCGCCGCTGCCTCCTCCCCTGTCCCCCCGCCGGGCTCGGCGGTCCCTGACGGCCGGTGTCTCCGCGGGGGCGGGAGGAGGCGGCTCCGGCCCCAGGGCGCTGGCGGCGGCGGCGGCTACATGGAGCTGCGCGCCCCGCTACGCAGGGAGGCGCCCGGGCGGGCAGCGCGGCCGCAGCATCGATGCGCGGGGTCAGGAGGGCGGCGGCGGCGGCGGCTCCCCCCCGGCGAACTCACCCCGGAGCCGCCCGGGCCCCGCTCTCGGCTCCTCCCGCCGCCTCCGCCGGGCTCGTTATTGACTTTCAGGAAAACTCCCGACGTCACCGGCTCCCCCCGAGTGTCTCCCCCTCCGCGGCGGCGGCGGCGGCGGCATCCCCGGCTCTCGCGAGAAGCGCGGCGGGCACGGGGGGGCCGCCAGACAGGGCGGGGGGAGCCAGACAGAGGGGGGCGGCTGAGGTGAGGGTGGGGGGGGCGGCGGCAGGCAGCGAGGGAGGGAGGGAAGAGGGAGCGGCGGAGGGAGGAGGGAGGACGGGGAAGGCGAGGCAGTCCGCCCGCCCGGCGGGCAGGCAGGGGCGGGAGCCGAGCCGAGCGGCGTGTCCCGTCCCGCCGCCGGGCCGCGAGTGGGAGCGGGAGGATGGATGGATGCAGGCAGGCAGGCAGGCAGCAAGGCAGCGGCGACGCACCGCTCCTGGGTTTTTCTTTTCGGCATCGCGGCCCCTCGCCAGCCCCGCGTGCGTGTCCCGGGGTTTGTTCCCTTTGTTCTCGCACTGTGCAGTTACACAGCCCCCCTCCATGAGCTTGCCCCGGTACCCGGAGTGGTCCACTGGTCTCTGCAGACTCCTCCAGGAATAGAACTACCAGTTACGCCGCGGGAAGCTGTAATTCATCCTTCGTTGAAGTGTTTAGTGGGTGCGCCAGCCTCAGTATGGCAAAATTGTCTGCAGGCTTCGCCTTATCCCTGCGGGTAAATAAACATCTAAAGAACCGTACACCACCCTTCATCCGCTCCCGACTCTGACATTTCCCGTGGCCGCAGGCACTATAGGAGCCGAGCTGGTGTCAGCAGGGCCAGCAGTGTTGCAGAGTGCTGAGCACGGCGTTCTCCCGGCTCGCCAGTGGTGCCTGTGGGGCTGCGCAGGCCGGGAATCCCTGGCCTGCTGCGCCTTGCCACAGCCACCGCCGAGCGTGGTCCTGCAACCCTAATGAGTGCCCGAGGTTCGTGGGTGCGGTGCCCTCGGCGCTTTGTTTCACAGCTAAGCGGCTGTGTGTATGTGGGTATGTACAGGAGTTTAGTGCACATAAATATGTCTTCTATCATTCATGGTTTGAATAATACGCACAGATTAATTTGCTGTATAAATGCATCTATTATATATGCAGTTCACACTGACTTGTGTCAGAGGCTGTTACTGCAAAAGGGAAACATATTTTTGATTGCTTGAAATATAACTCTTCGCTCTGTTTCATCAGTGCAGAGTTTTTTATAAAAATGGCCATGAGAACTTTCATCAAAATCACATTTAAAAACCAAAACATGTTTCTTTAGCATGTACCCCATCTTTATTTTTTAAATTTTCCTTTTCATATCCCACCTTCTTCTGCAACTGTTTGAAACATCAGACCTCCTGTTCCCTGTGCCGCTACAGGGCTTCAGAGAGACTTTTTTGAGAATCTGAATAATCATATGAGTTGGCACAGGACTGGAAATTTGCCTTCAGAGGCAGTGAATCCTTTCCCTGCTGTGGCAAGCAACCACATCAATAATCCCATTCATAAATATGCTGAATTTCCTCTTAAAACTATGAAGTTTGTTTGCCACACTGTTCTTACTACCAGGCTGCACCCTAAGCTCTCTGTTCCCCTCATTCTGAAAAAACCCAAAATTTATAACATGTTAGATTAATGCATCTTTTTGAAAAAGAAGTTAAAAAGGACCTTGCCAAGCATTACTTGCTTTCCCAGAATTTACCATTCAGTCTTTCTCTTTCTCAGAAACACTTCAGTAAAGTATCTTATTAACTACCGATATTCACAGGGAGCCATAGTATCAATTATTAAAATATGTTTACACCCTAATGTCTCCTTTGATTGTTGCTGGTATGCTGCTCCTGAAAAACTAAAGGTGTAGTACTTGGAACGTGCCTTCTGTCTGCTGCAATTCCTCCAAAGGGTTCAGAACCTGAGGCAGCATGAAATCTGCATGGGCAGTAGCTGATAGACTGCCAATCGACTCTTCAGGTGCCAAATGCTGAGTGTGAAATCCCGGCCCACAGAAACTCCTGGTATTTGATATCAGTCAGGTCAGGAATTTGTGTTACATTCCTGCTATATGTTAATCCCTGCCACTAACAGTTGCAAATTTCTTATTAAAAAATTATATTTGTATGAATGGTCACCCTAGTTGATTTCTCCAAATTTTCAAAATATGAAATATTTCCTTTATGATGACAATAAGTTTTCTTACATTTATAAACAGATACTTGGTGTAAATCAACCCAGAAAATCAGATCTAAACGCACATTCACTTACATTTTAAAAGAAAAAAAAACTTTGCACCGTGGTAAAAAAAATTATTGCAGTGGATAACATTTACCTACAAGGAGAGATAGTCTTCTACACTTTTATTTTGTTACAAATTGCTGAAAATGAAACAGTGGGCTGAAATCTATCATACTGATGTGGAGATTAAACTTGTATTTTTCAGCAATACCTGATTAGGACAATTTTGATCTGTCTATATAATATGGACAACTATTCATGGGCAAATAATTTTTTCACTCAGTATGACTTTGAAAGAGATTCACTATCATCTTACTTTTTATATATCAAATACCAATGCTCTGGAAATTCATGGTTTCTAGCTACTCCTAAGTTTTTGATCCTGCTCGGCTTTATATATTGACCCTGGTGTGCTGAATCTAACCAAATACTTTTTGTATGGATTATTAAATGTACTAAATAAATAAGTGCTCCTATGCAATAATTTTTTTCTCTGTATAGAATATAATAATTTTTTTCTTACTCCAAGGCTTCAAAATGATTTCTTGGAAAGAGTTAATCACTGTAAATTGGGCAGAAATGACCCCTTGATTAATAACCAAATTGAGGCATACCTCTTTCAGAAATAAAATGGCTGCGATATACATACTGTGAACATAATGAGGTTGTAGGTTCTGCAGAAATGACATAATTTTCAGATTAATTACAATGTGACATGAATTTAATGAACATATTAACAGCATATGCTAATGAAGAAAGTATTGCAGTTCACATGAGAAGAAGAATAGGTCTGCATGTAAATTTAGGAGAAAATGGGTACCTCTGACATTACATGTTCCATATATAGTCATGAAACAAAACAAATAATACCCATTCATTGTCATCTATTTGGCACCACCAAACAGGTTGATAAACTTTCATAGGATCACTTGTAATCATTATTTCAACAGAAACAAAAACAAAAACCTGCAGATAATCTCTATATAAATCCTGTCCATTCTGAGGCAATAAAAGATGTACCTCTTTTTTCACTTAACATATTCATGTTAAGTGTTATCACTACTAAAGTGATATGATCTAAGATTACAGAGATATATATCCTGAAAACAAATCATTAAATAGGAGAGAAGATTCTGCCTGCAGAACACCAGTTCTCTCTACTTCTATGGTTTACATTGCCTTCTGTTTAATTTCATTCCTTGTTTCTCCAGTCATCTAATAATCTTACTTCCATGTAAGAATGCATTTTAAAAAATAAACAAACAAACAAAAAACACACAAAAAAACCCCTTAAACATTGAAGTGTAGCAATTTAATACAAAAAAAAAGATGACGAACGACAGTGGGTTAGATGACAATCTCTGGTATTAAACTCCCTATCACTGTCTACTTTGCTCTTGTTTGAAAAGCACACACCAATATCAGTGGAAACTGACAGGAGAGCAACGAAATTTGCTCTATATAAAATGATGCTTAAAATCTATATTAGGCATTTTTTTATGGTGAAGTTAAGGTGTTGCCTGCAAAAGTTGTGGCTTATTTGTTACATATATGTATAGCTCTTAAAAAGCTTAAACACATCTATTTGTTAGCTCAAGCTCAGCTACTACAAAGGGTGAACCTGTCTGGCTAATGTTGAGCTCCGACTCTGATTCTCTGTACTGTTGTAGGCACACAGACACTTCAGGACTTTAACCACTGCCATCTGTATTGTAGTTTTCTCATTACAATTGAATTTCTCACAACAAGAAACAGCTCATTGTAATGAGCTGCAGAATTCAGATAAGACATGTAGGAAAAACACGGGCAGGGGATGTTGCAATCCACTGGACACTAGGAGGAAACAGAACTTACTTGAGGTCAGTTGGATTTTACAGTGTGTATCTTTTTTTCCTTTCTGTTACATTCACTTCTAAACAACTTTATTGGTTTAGTCTTTTGCTTCTTTTTCTTTACTCTCTTGGAGTTTCAGTGCACTTCTTTTTGACATTTCTGCCTCTGAGGCTGTCTCAGAGGGCAATATTCCATTGCATGTCCTCAGACATCTGTGATTTAGGAGTAATTTATTTATTTCTAATACATAAAGAGTTAAGAAATAAACCTAGACTCTCGATTTGACCCCTGCAGGCCATTTTGCTACACATCACCAGTTCCATAAAACTGCTTCAGCACCAGTCTCAATGGTTGGCTGGGCTGACCCTCGTTGCTGGCTGTCTCTTACACAAAATTGTCTGGATACAGAAATCTCTCCTTTCCTCAGATGGTCCCAGTTCATTAGTGCTTACAAAAAGTAACACTGATGAACTCATATAGACATATACAGAGACTCATACTATTCTTATTATTTAAAACCTGCAAGTTGTAGGCTATAGGTGAATACACAGTAAAGCAGGATAGCAATAAATAAATCATTCTGTCCACATATATTTGCCTGAGCAGCACTATAATTATGCTGAACATAGTAAAGTCTTTAGATAAAAGACTGTGTAAATATCAGTTGATTGCATTTATTTTACAGCATGTTATTATTGTCTTATTCTTTATCCTCCAGAGATCTAAGAAGGTGTTTTCCTTCCCCTTCTTTCCCATACTCCCATGCACTGGAGGTCTACAAACACTGTGAAAGGCACACGCCCTACTGCAGTGACCTTAACTTGCTTTGAAACCAGATATGACAGTAAGGATGACAAACAACGGGA